AAAGCAGAGTTGGTTTTTATTGACATATTTGAATTATTATACATCACAGTGTGCCACGCTCTCTCTGCTGATGTGAGAAAATGGAGCTCACCCACCAGTCTTGGTCTTTCTCGCTTTCTGTTATCTATATGACAGTAATCATTGTATATTATTTATATAATATGTATTTGATGAAGCTTTCCAAAGGCTCATTAATAAGACAAAAGTATTTCTTATGTGATTTCTTGGTTAATCGATGGATTACTCTATAGCCCTAATTAAAATCAAACATTAATTACTCTGAAAGAAACATCAATTGCATCCTCCTTCATACCACCCACTGGTTAGAATGCTTGGTACTATTGTTTTCTCTATTTACATGATTGTGACTTGGAGGGGCACTCAGGTGGTCATTAGAAAAGGGTAGGTTGTGGCAGTAAAGACCAGCAACAATGATTTGTTGGTATTTAAAATGATCCAAGAAAACATTGCCCATATTATTATTTTTATATTGTCAACAGCAGCCAGACTGTTGATACAGGCCAGGTTGGCCCTATGGGCTGTTCAAGCCAACTTCTGAGCCAAGCATCTGCAGTCTCAGCAGAGATGGAGATCGACCTCATTGGTTCTTCCAGGATTGCTGTGCCCACTGCAACCATCTGATCGCTCATATTTGGAATTTCTTCTCCACCTCCAAGACCTCTGGGATGTCTCTGATGAAAAGTGACACAGACGATATAAAAAGACAAAAGAATTTAACCGTGTGTTAAGGATCTCTCCTTTTGTTACATACTGGTTCATAGTTTGCTCTGTAATGTGTTCAAACATTACCTAACTTTAATTTAAAAGTACGAAACGCGTTATTTCAGGTTCTTTCATTTGAGTTCTGAGGCCTGAGAGCAGCTCAGAAACAGCCCGTCCACCTGCTTCCGATTCGCTCCTGTCTTTGTCTGCTGCCCGACAGCGCGCACACTTTCATAAGCGGCTCTGCGTGATTGGCAGCTCTGTCAGCCACTCACATAGCGCAAAGCGTCAGTTTTACGTTTACTCCGGTTTGCTAACCAATCAGTACAAGTGTTAAACATTCAAGACGCAATACGGACTCCAAGACTCGCCATGTTGGTGAGGGAAGCCCCCGAAGCCCTCTGTGGGATTTTTAATACAAGCTATCCTGATTACAGGACGGATTCAATCAGTGTAGCGTTCTTCTTCACTTTGTAGTTCCAGTATTAACGTCTTACTAGGATTATTGAATATTCCTTTAATAGTAAAGAACTTACTACGCATTATGAAAATGTTATTAGGCAAAAAAAAAAATGCAGCCCTGTCCACAGAGAATATTTTCATATTAATATGTTCACACTTTCTCCTCCTTTGGATCCATAACGCCTTTCCAATCCTGCCACCAAGCTTCCGTCCTCCCTCCTCTCCCTCCTCTCTATATCTCGCTACCTTGTCCAGCCTTTCTCTTTCCCATTCTTATACAGAAGTACTATAACTGGGAACAAATAGAAAGACAATAGAAGCAATAGTCAGTTACGAAAAAAACGAACATAAAATGCGATCTTGGCACATCTTGGCACGTAGGCTAAGCATATATAACAACCACTACACATACAATTGATACATTTGATACAATTGATACATGTAGTACTGAGAGAAACTGATTGCATTATTCCTTTAAAAAAAGTCAAAGAAAATCTTATTGCATGTTCACTTCCGAAGGATAATAATAATAATGATAATAATAATAATAATAATAATAATAATAGTAGTAGTGTAATATAGCATGATGACAGCTTTTTAACTGACACTGGAAATACTTTAGTACTTTTACTGAAGTAAAATCTAGGTGCCTGCCCATTATGCTGTTGGGGTATTTTACCTCAGCATCGCTTCTTTCAATACGCGTAATTAGGCGATGCTTCTTACACAACTGAACAGCAGATGTATGACAGTAAAATGGTCTGTATAGTAAAGCGTCGAAATTCTAATATAATTATATAAATCTACACATTTGCACTCCATTGACATGTCCTCAGGGACTCAATGGCTCCCGGCGCTACCGGGCCCTCTGAACGGGTGAAGTGTCTTGCCCAAGGACACAATGACCGAGACTGCCAAGCCGGGGCTCGAACCGGCAACCTTCCGATTACAAGGCGAACTCCCAACTCTTGAGCCACGATCGCCCCATATCGTAGTATGAAGTATAAAGTGCAGGCTCTAGCTTGTGAAATTGTTCAAGTTAAACATGCACTGTGTGTGTGTGCAACACAGCATGTGTGAGATTTATAGTGTATCAATGTCAGGACCCACACACTCACAAGGAGGGCTGGGTATTGTTTTCCCCTCGCCAATAGTAGGCTGGACATTGTCAAAGCCAAACCACCAATCACAGTTCGCTTCTGGACACCCTTCTCCGCCCACTGCTCTATAAAGAAGGGAGCTCCAGTTGGCGGACAAGCAGCTGACAGCGCAACGATTATCTTAACACAGCAGCTGGAATAATTACAATACGTTCATTTTTATTTTTTGCTATATTCTGACTGGATATTAATAATTTCCTTTTATATATCTAATATGGCAGACAGCCAGGTGGAAAGCAGCGGAGAACTGAGCACCAAGGTAAGGACAATAGAAGGAGACAGGGCACGATGCTTTTTCTAACTGTAACATGTTACTAATTTTTCTATTTTAAGCACAGTGCGTATGAAAAAGAAGACTACCAGTTTTCTAGATGATATTCATTATGACCTGCTTGTATGCACGAAATTCTAATATAAATCTACACATTTGTCATCCATTGACATATGTACTGAAGGATCGGAGCTAATGGATGAAGAATAAAGACGGGCTTATTAAGGTACTAGTTTTGGCACAGGGAACATTTCTAAGCTTCCTCGGTGGGCAGCTTAATACCGCCTCCCAGTTTCATTTAGAGTCAGACATGCAGAGATTGTAGGATGCCTGTCTGTCATTTCACAAACTACATATACGGCCGCTGTACTCGTCAATGCAGGTGTGTGTTCTGTGAGGGCTGTCCCGATCTGTCGCCAAACTCTCGGATAGTTGAGGGAACTGAACCGGCTGAGGCGCGCAGAACTGTTACTTTTACTGTTTGGGGAACGTTTAGAAGTCGAAGCAGTGACCGAAAGCAAATAAAGACCTTCAGGGATGGAGGTAGAATAGCAGAGTGGGTTATCTCCCGCCCGGTACCGAGTGTTTCCATTCACGACCGTGGGACTATCACAGAGCCACATCTAGTCTTGTTAAACTACTGTTCTGGTTTTGGTTTAACATAGTAAATATCGGCTTCATTGTTAGTGCTTCTGATACGTATTCGTGTAATCATTCACAAAAGCAAATGGTAGTTCCGCTGCGGTGAAACGGCGTGGACACGCATGTTTCTAACTGTCCAGCTCTGTGTTGTCTGTAACTCCAGTGACGCGATCGAGCAATAATCTGAGTTTATGCATGTGGAGCTCCACCTCACTGCTACTGTGGCCCTCAGCGGAGCTGGGAGCGCGCACGCTCCTGTGTTTCTCACCAGTGTCGTCACGGTGGAGGCAGGCTGCTGTGCCCGACCCTCGGGCCTCTCTTCTTCTTTAACCGAGTTTTCTTTAATGTCTCAGTTTCCTCGCGCCTCGTGTACCCGCTGGTACTGTAGTACTGAGTGATGCCGAGGGGACGCTGGTGATTTCTGCTCAGTTTGTTTCCGAGCAGCTCCATTTCAAACAAAGGCTGACAGCGAGCGACGAGGCGCAGGGTGTTCTACAGGTACACGCTAATTCAAACAGCTGGCGCGCGAGCCGTGCCCGTGAAGCTGTGCATGTCTGTCTACAAGCCGACTCGCGCGCTCCACGAGTGGTGGAAGCCTTCCTTTCGTCTAACCAGGTGCCATTCTAGGTTCAAACTCTTAGGGGGGCTCAGCTCCCAATCATAATGTGCTGTTCATAATATGCTCTTTGCAAATGTAATCAGCCCTTCTTACATCAGCAGACCTCAGGTCAATTGAATAATCATTACACCTTCAAAAGCAGCCTAATTAGTTGGATAACCTAGTGTAGTGTCTAAGAATAATTCAGAGTAAGTAGAAATTTCAGTCTAATCCACTCGTTTTAATGTGGAGCCTTTAGTTATCAAACCCAAGGCAAAGGCTCAGTGTTTTAAGACCTATTTATGGCAATCAGATAAGATGAGAGACATGGAGATTATTTCAGTCTCTTAATAACCACACAGAGGCAGTCCAACAACTCATCAAGCACTTAAACTAGCACACAGACACTGGAAAACCACTCCAAAGACCTGGAGTGGCAGGGTGCAAACGCGCGTTTTATTATGCAAACTCAGCACAGAGCATCATGTACCCCAATTTCACGAGTGAAGAATAGATTTGTAGTCCTGTTCAGCCATGTTTAGAAGGAATCCTGTGAAATGCTGCATTCATGTAAATATGCTCTGTTTAGAGCGTGCTACTGGAAAGCAGAGTGAGCGTCCATGAAAGGCACCGAAAACTACTTTGTTAAAAATAACTTTTGTTTTTCCAGCCAACTGCAACTTAAAGCGTCGAAGCACTGTGTTTGTAAACGATAACTGGCATCCCATTTCCACAGAGGTGAGGACAGGAGGGAAAAACCCGAGAGGTTTTGCGCTCATACTGACAAAAATATTCACTTTGAGTATTTGTTTTCTATTTGTTTTAGGCATAGATAAATACTGATGATGCGGTAATTAGTCTTTTGTCTAATCTTTTGTTTTGTGGTGATGAGAGGCTTTCTCTGTGGTGTTTCCTTATTATTTTGAGGAAAGCTGAAATGTGGAGATCACGGTTGTTGTTTTCAAGGCAAACTGCCATGGCTGCCATACCCTCTGTGTAGGTGACTTAATGAAATTGTACTTCAGATACTTCATTATCTGACAGTTTGTATCACTATTGGAATTTTGTATAAAGTCACCCAGCTGTACAGCTAAAAAGTAATAAATTTTTGATTTGCTTTTTCTCATTGCTTTTTTATTCCTAGTATTTTTGTTGTTGTTTGTTTTTTGTTTCTACACAAAAACAAAGAACTATATTGAGAACATGCATCTTAGGTCATACAAATGCCTACTAAACCAGTTAAAACCATGTGAAATGGTCATTTTATTTTGTTTTAATTCATCATGGCATGACTTTGCAGAGAAATTGCAAAAGGCAGTCTTCCTTCAGTGGAAGGATAAGATGATGTGGTTTAAAAATGCCATGTGGCTGCTTTCCTCCTCCACTTTCATGGCATGTATGGTTTTTTTTTCTGGACTATGATGAGCAAACCTGGATGCAGCTGGAGAAGCTTCAGCTTAAGTGGTTATTGTTGGCATTACTGTGATTCTTATAGGAGGTGCGCTGATTTGGTGAGTAAATTTACTTTTTCTGCCTTCTTGCAGTGTCAGGTTTATAAACTTGCTAGCCAGTGTTAGCCTAGCCTTGTAGCATGCCGCCGCCTCTTGGCTTCTGTTGGTTAAAAAAACATAAACCCTGCAGCTTTGACTTTTTCGTTTACATTTCTCTCAGTGAAACTAACTGTTGTTGATTCGAAATTGGAAAAGTGAGCTTATAAATCATTAGATAAGAGACGAGACGTTTTCGCAGCTCTTAGCAGCGTTGTCATGTTTTCACCTCACACAAACTGTTAGGTGGCAAAAGCACAATAATTTACAAGCATGTATTCGAACTCCTGCATTTGTTTTAATGCTTTATGGCTACATCTGCGGCATCTGTGAATGTCAAATCTAGCCATTCTTTATCAACATAAACAAACTGCTTTTACATTTAACTAGCAACATTTCTGCTTAGTTACATTTTTTAAAAAGTAGTCTTAATACCATTACTTTTTACTAAAAACTGTATTCGTATACAAGTTTTGTTGTGAAAGTCAAATTTAAGACATCCAGAAACATTTTGGGGTAGCCTGTGTTAGATATAAACACAGCCACAAGTTTTATCTGGTCATCTTGCTTATTAGAAACTGTAACAAGAAACTTTAACAAGTAACAACTTTAACAACATTAAGTTCTATGTTGTAAACAACAGAACTTTATGTTGTAAGTTATCTATGGTTGCACAGCCATTAGGCATCTAATCTGCTTCTGAATAATTTGCTGGTTTTTATTCTTGTTTTCTTTCTTTCTTTTTTCTTTTTACTTTGTCAGAGATTTCTCAGAGAGTTTGCAGAATTGTCGTTAGACTGAAAGAGTTTAGTGATTGCCCACATTACACTGAACTCTTGCAAGTCTAGAAAAGGAGCTGTTGGACAGACATCAGTTGAGTGGTAAGTATTTTTTGTTTTCCAGTAGATTAGTAATATTCAGTGTCATCTATATTAATCATGCTAAATGTTTAATCATACTTTAGACCAACCTGTTTTACTCCTCTAATTTATTCTTTGGCTTTGGGAAATTGTTTCTTTACCAAGCTTTTCGTGCTTTCTGTTATTAGTCCTCAGATATGACTGCATTATGCTGTTGTCCTCAGACGCATTAAAGCAGGACTTTGTGTACATTTCAAGACATGCTGTGTAAGTAAATACAAACAACAGTTTGGGCTGCATTTCTTGAAAGATTACATCTCACAAACTTAGTTTAGAGGTACCACAATGTCTGTACACTATATAGTGAAGTCTGAACATTTGAGCTATCAACTCCACTGAGTTGGATCAGGTGGTGGGGGAGGATGCTGGACAGACCTGTCACACCCAAGCATATAGGCTGCACATGGGATGCCTGCCAGAAGCCCCAGTTCAGGAGATTTTAATATCCCAGTTCAACAGTTTCCAAGGGAGGGTGGGGACATTGAGTCAAAATGGACAATGTTCTGCACCTCCATAGCTGATGCTGCTGCAGCAAGGAGCTGCGGCCGGTAGGTGGTTGGTGCCTGTCGTGGTGGTAATCTCAGAAGGGAGGCATCAAGCTGAAGGAGGAGTCCTACCAGTCTTGGTTAGCCAGGTGGTGGCCTCCGCCTCGCAATGGAGCAGTTCACAGCTGAGTGTGAAGTGGCGGGAATGAGAATCAGCACCTCCAGATCTGTGGCCATGGTCCTCAGCTGGAAAAGGGTGGAGCGTCCACTCTGGCTAAAGGACGAGTTGCTGCCCCAAATGGAAGAGTTTAGGTATCGTGGGGTCTTGTTCACAAATGAGCAGAGAGAAGAACAAAAGATTGGCAGGTGGATTGGGGCCACAGCTGCAATCATCCTCAGAGTAGAGCTGCTACTCCTCCACATCGAAAGGAGCCAGTCGAGGTGGTTTGGGCGTGTCCCACCAGGAGGAGGCCCCAGAGCAGACCCAGGACATGCGGTCTGGGGGTTCTCTGCTTAGGCCCCTGCCCCCGCGACCCAGCTGTGGATAAGTGGAAGAAAATGGATGGATGGCATAATTGGTTATATCAAATTGACAGCATTTTTTGAAAACAGTGTAATAATGTAACTTGATTGTCTAAAATGCAGAAAAAATGTTTTAAGAGCAAATATAACTTGGTGTTCTAAAGAATGGGCAGCGCGGTGATTAGTTCGATTCCGCCACCTGGCCAGGGCCTTTCTGTGTGGAGTTTGCATGGTTGTGTTGGCGTGGGTTCTCTTCAGGTACTCCGGACTATCCCACGACCAAAGACATGTGGTTAGGTCAATTGTTCATTCGAAAGTGCAAGTGGGTGTGAATCAGAGTGTAAATGGTTGCCTGTCTCATGTGTTGTGACAGACTGGCAACATGTCCAGGGTGTACCCTGCCTCTTCCCTTATGGTAGCTGGGA